ACTCAATGACAGTGAATTGGTTCTGGTCTAGTGGCCAGACCAGTGGCAAAGCAATAGGCTGCTTGCTCAGCCAAAGTCAGTAAGCACTCATCGGCTCTAACACTGCCCCTGCCAGGAAACAGGGGGCCTCCATGAGCTGAGAGCTCCCTAGGCTTCTTGGAAGAGGCCACAATTTCTCCCCTTCTTTCCCTCCTTCCCTGAGCTCCCCACATGCACAGAGCTGTCCCACTAAGGTCTAGTGCTGCTCACACCTCCCCAGAAGGTAAACAGGGCAAGGATGTTATTCTCATTAGAGGAAAAAGGAAGGTGACAGGCTAGGACAAGGACCGAGGACCTGACTCCCACTCCAGTGCTCCTTCCAGGCCAGCTAACTATCACTGGTGAAATCTTACTACAAGGCAGGGTCCCTATGCACACACACTGAAGTGTCCACCAGCTGCCCAGCCTCTCTGTCCTCCAATCTTCAAGGCTCTGATGGCAATCGCAGGGACAGACGGACTCGGTTACTCCTAGGGTATCTCAGCCAGGATTCCAGGCTTGGCTCAAAGTGGGCCTTACCAAAGGCGGCCGGCACATGGCTGAGGGCAGGCAGAGGGGTGGTGGAAGGAGGCTCTTGGAGTTCTGTGGTCCACCCTTCTCACATGTACAACCCCCATCTGTCCCCTTGCATACCTCCATCCCCTCCCTCTGTGTAAGAAAGGTAGTCCACAGAGCAAACGGGAAGCCTTGCCTGTGTATGTCCTCCCTGATTCCAGTCTCCCAGACTGCTTGCTGACTCCAGCATCAAAGTCCTAACACAGCCTCACTGCATCACTGCTTGCTGTCTTAGTTACTTTGTGCTGCTATAACAAATACCACAAACTTCACAGAAGCACATTTAATGTCCACATTTCTAGCAATATTCTGTTGTTGGTACCGTATGTATTCTCGAAGATGAAATTTTCTCCTCACTTCCTTCTTGGCCCTCACCAGAACTGCCTTTGACATCCAAAATTCTAGCAATAGTCTCTTCAAGGCAAGCTAGGTTTTACTATTTAAAAAAAAAAACCCTAAACTCACTGTCATCAAGTCGGATCCGACTCATAGTGACCTCTCTTTGGGTTTCTGAGCGGTATCACTATGGAAGTAGATTGCCCAGTCTTCCTTCTAAGGAGTGGCTGGTGGGTTTGAACCACCAAATTCTAGCCTCTACCCATTACTCAATTCCAAAAGCATTTCCACATTGTAGGCATTTGTTAGAGCAGCACCCCCACTTCTTGGTACCAAATTCTGTCTTAGTTATCTAGTGCTGTAACAGAAATAACACAAGTGGGTGGCTTTAACAAACAGAAATTTATTTTCTTACAGTTTAGGAGGCTAGAAGTCTGAATTCAGGGTGCCGGCTCTAGGGGCAGGCTTTCTCTCTCTGTCAGCCAAGCTTCCGCTCCTTGGCAGTATTCATGTGGCTTGGCAGTGGCTTGGTATCTCTCTCCCCCCACCTCTGCTTCTCTTGCTTGTTTAATCTCTTTTATACCTCAAAAGAGATGTACTAAAGATACATCCTATACTGATTCTACCTCAGTAACATAACAAAGACGACCCATTCCCAGATGGGATTATAACCACAAACATAGAGGTTAGGATTTACAACACATATTTTGGGAGGACATAATTCAATCTATAACATCTACCAAATACCTGCTATCAACATGAAATCCAATCCTTGTGTCCCTGGCGAAGGGGTCTCTGCCAGCCTTTCAGCCCCCTTGCCTCTCCAAGTCCCCGACATTCTAACCACACCAAATTGTGTGTCCTCACCTTGGAGTGGGATGGGGCATGGCTCAGAAGGTCCAGTGACTGGTTGCAGAACTGAAACACTTGTCCTCATACTCCCATTCACACGTGTATACAGATGCAGATACACTCTTTTATCCAGACATAAGCCCACCCCCCAGTCACACATAACCCATTGCCCTTTAGTCAATTCCAACTCACAGCAACCCTATAAGACAGGGTAGAACTGCCCCCATGGGGCTTCCAAGGCTATAATCTTTACAGAAGCAAATTGCCACATCTTTCTCCCACAGAGCAGCTGGTAGGTTCAAATCACTGACCTTTCAGTTAACAGCCAAACACTTAACCACTGCACCACTAGGACTAATCACACACAGGACCAACAAATCTGCTTTATAGATCCCTAGAGAGGCCAAGTATGGTCTTATTTACAATCCCAGCCCTGAAGGGACAGCAGGGAGGCAGGAATGGATATCATGGATCTGGCTGAGCCCCTCCTGGGCCCAAAGATTTCTGAGCCCCAGAGGGTGGACAGAGGATGGTCAAGCAGGTCCAGTCAGGCTCTCATCCTGGGTCTGCAGCCAACTTGCTGTGCAACCCCAAACAAGCCACCTTCCCCTTCTGTTTCTCCAATAATAAAACAAAGAGATTTGGATTATCTGATTCAGGGCCATGCAGGTCTGCTGCCCAGCACTCTCAGCTCCTGCCAAATGCAGAGAATGAAGGGCTGTGAGCATGCAACAGTAGGGGAGGTTTCCAGGAGGTGGAGCTGGGAGCACAGTTGGAATTTGCTCGTTCAGTGGACCTTCACTGGGGCCTTCCCCTGTGAGCTAGTGTGGGAAGTACTGCATTAACAATGTAGCTAAGTGCTGGCCCTCAGGAAACCAGCAACCTTCTAGCACATGACAGGTTGGGGATCAGCTGAGCCAGGATGGGAAAGAGGTTTCAGAATGGAGGACTGTATCCAGGTAAGCAAGTGTCTGGAGAGATGGAGGTCAGTCTAGCCTGAGCTCCTCCTAGAGTCCCCACTGCCAGCTTTACAGCCCTGAAGAGGCCAGCTCACCCCGAGCCTCACGTTCTCCCATCCCAGGGTGGGAGTGGGGAAGGATGCACCTCAGCTCTATAGGCGTTTGGTTCCCTGTCCAGCTGCTGCTGAGGGTACTCCTTCAATGCCAGCCCTGGGGGTGGGCACCTTCCATGGCTAAAGCCATGGGATGAGGCAAGTACAAAGGCAGCAAGAACCTGGACCAGAGGAGGCAGAGGCAAGAGCCCAGAGAGGAGAGCATATTAATTACCCATAATTTGTGTTTATGAAAAAAGTAATGAGTCCTGTTGAATGCTCACCATGCAGGATTTATCTCATTTTATCATCTACACTATGGGCAAATCCATCAGTCCTCAAATCAAGGGTGCTAAGTGAATCAATCTAGATCTTGAGATGTGGCCCATGAGCCCAGTCCAGCCCCTGGCCTGCCAGCTCCCACAAACAAGCACAAGGAAGGGCCAAAAGAGAGTAGGGGAAATCTCCAGCAAGACCCCACCCACACCAAAGCCCCTTAGGAAAACCCAGGACAGATATGAATTGGTGGACATGTGACAGGCACGTGCATGAGAGGCAGCACATCCTGTGTGCTGAGTGCCTGCATGTGCACACAGGCAGAGGTGCCTCCCCTCTCAGTATACCACACCCACACCCACGTGCCACACATATACACACACTGGGGACATGGTGATAGGTTTTTGGCCACAGCCTCTGCTCTTCTGCCCTGGCCACCCAGTGCTAACACCCATGTTCCCAAGGACGAGAATCGAAGCACATCTAGAGGCTGCCAGAAGAGAGCACTAGGGTAGAGTGGGGAACTCCATACCAGGACAGAAGGAAGTGGTGCTCCTGAATAAGTCAGGTACAAATTCCTCCCCTTCCTTAAGCCTCCCTAGTCCCCAGAGCCTAGCTCACCTTGTCCCCCTTCGTCCTCCCCAGTCTGTAGCCTCCTCTGTGTAAGCCAGGTCCCAGGTCACAAACCACCTGCAAGGTAGCCTGTTCAAAGCCAAGTGGGGAAAAGAGGCTGTTCTCAGGGGGAGGGCAGGCCAACACTGGCCAGAGCCCCTCAGCACCCTCAGGGAGGAGGAGAGGCTAGGGTGCAAGAGGGGCCAGCAAGAGCAGCCCCAGGCCTCGCTGTTCTCTATGGCTTTTTATTCCTATGTGATTCTACTGCTCGCTCATATAGGGATTGGAGCCGTGGCGCACGGCGGGGGCGGCCAGCGGAGGGCTCTGAGTAAGGGGTCTGAGGAGAGCCAGGACAATGCTCCCTGCTCTCCCAACCCAGGCTGCTAGCCAGGCTAAGGGAGCCATCCTCAGCTGCTCTCCCCCTACTCTCCTTCACCCCAGCCAGCTGTGATAAGAAGAGGGGTTGGGCTGCTGGACAGCTCTGCCCCCACCATCCAAGACCCGCCAAGCTGGCACCAGAGCCCACACTGTCCCCTAGAGGAGCAGCTGAAGAACTGGGGATGTTCTGCCTGAGAAAAGGGCAGACACAAGGAAATGAATTCATATCTTGTGGCTGGGAGTAGCCCCTGGATAAAGAGGGCTAGGAGGTAGGGCAGACAGTTCAGCCAAAGAAGGCAGAGTCTGTGGCAAATAGCTGTCCAGAGGCAAAGGGATTTCCTTGGTGGCAGGTAGTAAGCATCACCCAGTGAAGCCTTCAGAGGGAGGGGAGACTGTGGCAGGGATACCACACAGTAGAGTTATGGTTGGGAGGGTGGCCAGTCCCTCACAAACCACAGGGCCTACAGTCCTTAGGCCTGTACTCCTGGAATCTCTGTTCACCCACTAATGATGGTGGGAGCCCAGCTCAACCTGCACAGGCCACAGAGGCACAGGCTCAAATCTACATGGACAGTCCTAAGTGCACCCAGCAGGGAGGGCTATGGAAAGTCCTGTCAGGTCCTGATATTGTGGCCACAGCCCCACTTCACTGCCCCTGCCCAGGGCTCCCCTACCAATCAGCTCTGAGGGAAGATGCATTAAGAATCCATAGTATGGTCCTTTTTATTCTCACAGCCTTTGTTTCTTCACTCCACAGAAAGACAGGCTGTGGGGCTCAGCAGAGGGGCTCAGAGAAGAATGAGGACAGTGAACTAGCCAAGGGGCTTACCCTGGCCCTCAGGGTACCTGCTGCTGTGGCAGACAGTAGTGGTGGAGGGGAGCACCACCTGCTAGGGAGTAGAGAAGCCCTGGGTAGGAGATGTGAGGGCCAATCAAACAGCCAGGGCCAAGGCAAAGAGGGGCCTTAGCCTGGTAAGGCCTTGGGAATCACCCTTGGTGTTCCCAGGATGCTGCCCTTGCAGGCCTCCTCTGGGCTTCCAAAGTGTGACCCATGCCATCATTGTGGCCGCAGGAACAAGAGGTGGGCATCCATGACATTGGTGCCGGTCAGCCCTGTAAATAGCAGGTGTGCCCCACCCTGGAGGCGGCAGAAGAAGCTATGTGAATCATTGTGGGCTAGGAAAGCGGCCACATCCAGCCCCTCGGCAGCAGCCTGGTTGGCAAGCTCAGATGTGACCCAGGCCCCAGCAGCCTCTGTGGGTCCATCCTGCCCATCAGTACCACCGCTCAAAAAGAACACATCAATAGGCCCGAGTGGCTGCCGTCCTAGCTCTGCTCCAACACGCAGGGCCAGCTCCTGGTTCCGGCCACCTTTGCCTGAGCCCTGCAGCTGCACTGTGGGCTCACCACCAGCCAGCAGGCAGACAGGCCCCTGAGCCCCTGCCACCGCCTCCAGAGCCTCCTCCAGCTGCAGGGCCGGGAGCTGGAGTTCAGCTGCCAACCTATGCAGTTCTGTATCCTCCTCTTCAGAAGCTGCAGCCCCAGGTGGGGTGAGGCGGGCTCCAGCCACTCGGGCCAGCAGCCCATAGAACTGGGCCACGCTTTTCACGTCACCCTGCATGGCTGCACTCAGTACTACAGCCCTATAGCCTAACAGCTCGGCCTGCCGCTGGGCCTCAGCCAGCACCAGCACGTTGGAGCCAATGATCACATTGAGGACATGACCGCAGGTACGTGGCCCATGGGGGTCAGAGTCAGCCCGAGCCAGCACAGTCTTCACAGAACGTGGTAAGGCAGCTCGGAGGCCATAGCGATTGAGAATGTGCAGGCAATCTTGCACGTTGTGGGCACTAGCCACTGTGGGGCCACTGGCAATCACCTCTATGGGGTCTCCCACCACATCTGACAGAATGAGGCTCACCACCTGGGCAAGGATCACAGGGGACATGGCTCAGTTCCACCTCCTCCCTGCTCCAGAACCCAGAAGGACAAACTGCTCCCTGTGGATCCACACACCCTCATGCTACCCATTTCCCCAACCATTTCTAAGCCCTCTCAGGTGAGTTTGAAGACATCTGTCATGGGGACTCCTCCTCATCCTGTCTGAGGCCCCTCCCATGGCTTCACCCAGCTGACCCCACAGACTCCTGCATCAGCCCCTGCCAATCTGCAGGCTGTTCTAGGCTGGCATCTTCCTGGTACATGTGGACTTGGCACCATCGGCCCAGGGCTATTTGGAGAAGAAGAGACTCACGTACCTGAGCAGGGTAGGCGGCCTGAGCCAGCCCCCCACCCTTAAGCTGGGACAGGGCCTTCCGGATGGTGTTCAGCTCCTGGATGGTGGCTCCGCGGGCTGCCAACAGCTTGGTGAGCGTCTGCTTCTCCTCTAGTGTGACTGGTGGGATGGGAGCCGGCAACAGGGCAGAGCCCCCCCCTACAGGGATAGTGAGGGCATCAGGGCCAATGGAAAAGGGAACAGAAATGGCCTTGCAGCAAAGGGACTTTCTGACCCAAGGAACCAGGCAAGCATGCCAGAAGCAAATGAGGTCAAGGTCAGTAGAGTACCCATTTCACACCGAGGAAAGGAGTGCTTGTAACGTGGGCTCCAAGCGCCCCCATGTGGACATGCAGACAAAGTGCACACAGTCACTGCCCCTCACCTCCTCGGCACCAGAGGTTGTCTCCTGCCTTGGTGTGCCCCAAGTCACAACAGGCACTAGAAAAACCTCTGGAGCAGGGGCAAAGCAGGAGGAGACAGCAGAGGACTAAGGAGAATGCCCTACATGAGTGCAGACATCAGCAAGAGCCGTGACATTTCCCGAGGGCTCTGCTGATGTGCTAAGGGTTCCCCATGCATCCTTTCACCACTACTCAACAAAGTCAGTTCAGTCTCAGGGAGGACCTTTTTCAGGGAGGACCTCAGGGGAGGCCAGATGACTGGCCCACAGCTACTCAGGAATCAGCCACCCAGGCTCCTCACCGTCTCCCTTGCTCCCACACTTTACCCTGTGACCCAGGGCTTCAGACCACATGACGCCTCATAGATCTGATACCTAGAGCCCTCCTTAGCAAATCTGGCATCTGCACCTGAGATGAGTACCAGCAGCAGGTCGTCAGCCGTAAGCCCCTCGGCCAGCTGCCGGATGGCCAAAGCAGCCCTTAGTGCATCACGGTCCGGCAGGTTGTCCTCAGCACCCTCAAAAACCTGGACACGGCTATGAGGCTTCAGCAGCATCTCCCTGAGGAGGGGGAAAACAGAGAGGAAAGAAAGGGTTGGGGAGAGGCTTCTAGCTCCTCTCCTCCTCCCTCCCACCTGATTTCCCAGCTACAGTGGTGAAGAAACATGAACAAGGATGCCCACTGACCCCCATCCTGGAACCAGGACAGGCACAGGGAAAGAGGGAACCTGGCAAGGGAGGAAAGCCCTGATCCAGGCCGCATCTAGACCCAGTTTCCCCTCCAGATGGATACTTGGGAGCAGCCCTCAACTCCTTACTGCTTGCCAGCACGCTCCACAGCAGCACGGATCCCTTTGGGAACGCTGATCACACCCTGCACAAGATGCTGGCCCAGCAGTTCCTCGGCAGCAGCTGCCATGCCCAAAACAGCCTTGCCAAAGCCCACCAGGTAGAGGTTGTGCCGCAGTTGAAAGCTCCGGTCTCGCACCTTCAGCTGCTTGCCACTAGGGTCCAAGGCCAGGACCCGGTGCAGCATGGGGCCCGGCAGCACAGCACCCACAGCACTCTCAAACAGTTGCTGCGCCTGCTCTGGCAGGGCCATGCCGCTGGCCAGCCGGGCCACTGGGCCCCTCCAAGGGAGTGGCCGCAAGGGGGCTCTGGCCAGGCGGGGTAGGACCTGCAGGGCTGCAGCCATGCCCCACTGCTCTCAGCACCATGTGGTACCCATGGCTGCCTAGGGGGAAGAAAAAACCAGTGAGGGCTGTTACAAGGCCAGAGACTGGAGGTCCCCCACAGCTACCCCCCTGAAGGCTCAGGGTTGGGTGACCCCACAGGTGCTGCTGCAGGAATGGGCCATCTGCCAGCCCAAGGAGACTTCCTGAGGCCCGAAGTTCCCTGATCTCACTCTTGTCCTTGAAGCCCAGCCCTGCCACCCAGCCATGTCCTCTCTACAAACCACACGCTGGCCTTCTGGACACTCTGCCTGAGTCCAAAGGTCCTGTTAGTTGAGCCCTCCTCCTGGGTCACCACTTTGGCTGAGTTAATCATTCCCAGAGGGAGTGATTCCTATCAGAGGGCTCTTGCCCCACCCCTTTCCCACCCCCTGCACTCTGAGCCAGTACTTGACATCAACGCCCCTTTCTGACACTCCTGCCTTTACTCTTTACCACATTTGCTGCCATAAGGCTGCTGGTTGTCTGCTGATTGTCCCACCAACTGACCTAGAGCCCAGTGACCTCCAGCTTGCTCTATTTCATTAGCTCAGGGGACTGGGCTGGGGTACCTGGGAAGTCTGGGTCTCTGTGAGGAGGCCACAGGCTTACCAAGGCACTATCAGGCCAGTCCCAAAGCACATACCCAGAGTGCGGTGCCTGAAGAACCAGGAAGCACTCAGAGCCAGTCCAGCAAGAGTTCAGGTTCAAATCAGGAGTGGCAGCAAAGTCTGGCTCAGGGTAGAACCTTACAGAAGTCCCAAGGCAACACATGAAGCCGTGCTGTGGAGCCCAATCTGCAGGACAGGAAACGATACCCTTCCACCCACATAGCTGGCTAGACCCTCCATGAACACCCCCTTTGGTTCCAAGATAACAAAACAAGCCCTGGGTCATACAACCCACTGTGGTAAAAGTGGAGCAAAGGCCAGGTTCCCACAATTGAGCCCAAATAACCACTTTCCCTACTGGGCAGGGTAACAGCTAAAGAAATCCTAAGGTGAAGGTCAGGAGACTGCAGAAAGGTTTAGGAATAATAAATCCCCAAAGAACTTATCTGTAAAAAGGCATCTACTTTAACAAATCCCCCTTATAAATGCTGCATGCTGACTCATCAGCAAGTATGGATCTAGCAGGGGAAGGAGGCTGGGATCAGGATTCCAGCTCTACCACAGCTTTCCCAAGTAGCTGAGCCTCATGTGCAAAACAAGAGGTGGGATAAGATTAAGACTATTCTTCTCCTCCCCCTGACATCCTAGGAATCAATGATATGGTCCACCGTAACATGGAAAACGCAGACCCTCCAAACACCAGTTTATATCACACCCACATAACCTGGCTATGTCAGCCCTGGGCCAGTTAGCCTGCATAGTTCTCCGTTGTAAGAAGTTGATGCTTTTGAGTAGTGGTGCTGGCGGAGAATGCTCAAAGTACCATGGACTGCTAAAAGAACTAACAGATCTGTCCTGAGGAAGTGCAGCCAGAATGCTCCTTGGAAGCAAGAATGGCCAGACTTCATCTCACCTATTTTGGTCATGTTGTAAGAAGGGACCATTCCCTGGAGAAGGATGTCATGCTTGGTAGGGTGGAGGGTCGACGAAAGAGGGGGAGGCCTTCAACGAGATGGATTGACATGGTGGCTGTGATGATGGGCTCGAGTATAACAGGGATTGTGGCACAGGATCAGGCAGTGTTTCGTTCTGCTGTGCATGGGGTCGCTATGAGTCGGAAACAATTCGACGGCACTTAACAACAACAACAAAGTTCTCTGTTTTCTCTGCTGTAAAAGGGAACAGAAGACGTGGCCATGAGGACTCTGGAAAAGGGGCCCAACTTTTGCCAGGAAGACCACTAAAACTTGCCCATTTGGCACAATGTTAAAGGAGTCTTAATATCTAGCAACACTTGGTTTTGAGAGAGTGGGTAAATTTCATACTTGTTTCCCAGATAGACAGAGGCCTAGAAGGCCTTGCTACTGGATACTAAAGTCCAGGGCTAAAGTTGCCAAATAAAACACAGGACTTCCAGCGAAATGTGAATTTCAAATAAAGGGGTAATTTCTTAGTGTAAGTTTATAAGTTGTTTCCAGGGTGGCACAAAAAGTTTGCACTTGACTACTAACCTAAAGGCTGGCAGTTCAAACCCATCCAGCAGTGCCATGGAAGAAAACCCTGGCAATCTGCTTTCGAAAAGATTACAGCAAAACACTATGGAGCAGTTCTACTCTGTGAACACCAGGGGTCGCTGTGACTGGAAACACACTCCATGGCAATGGGTTTGGTGTTTTGATTTAATGTCCCATGCAATATTCGGGATATAGTTACACTAAAAAATTACCCGTTGTGTATATGAAACTCAAATTTAACTGGATATCCTGTATTTTAATTTACAAAAACTGGCAATCCTACACACAAGACCAAACCCAAACCCATTGTCATTGAGTCTATTCCGACTCATGGTGACCCCCATTGCATTTCTAAGGCTGTAAATTTTCATGGAAGTAGAGTGTTTCATCTTCCTTCTGGCAAATCTGCTCCAAAAGACCTCTTTAAAGTGCTGAAGAGCAAAGATGTCTCTTTGACGATTAAGGTGCTCCCAACTCAAACCACCACGGTATTTTCAATAGCTTCATAAGCATGTGAAAGCTGGACAATGAATAAGGAAGACCGAAAGAAGAGTTGATGCTTCTGAGTTGTAGTGTTGGCAAAGAATACTCAAAGTACCATGGACTGCCAGGACGAACAAATCTGTATGGGAGGAACTGCAGCTAGAAAGCTTCTTGGAAATGAGTGTGGCCAGACCTCGTCTCACCTACTTTAGTCATGTTGTCAGAAGGGACCATTCCCTGGAGAAGGGTATCACGCTTGGCAAAGTGGAGCGTCAGCGAAAAAGGGGAAGACCCTCAACGAAATGGATTGACACAATGTCTGCAATGATGGGCAAGGATTGTGAGGATGGCGCACGACCAGTGTTTCGTTCTCTTGTGCATAGGGTCACTGTAAGTCGGAGCCAACTCGATGGCACCTGAACAACCTCCCGCAGAGTAGCTGGTGAGTTATGAACCACCGACTTCTGGTTAGCAGCCAAACGCTTTTTCCCTCTACGCCACCAGAACGGTCTCCCCTAAACTCCAGGATGCTCCAGCACGGAACCTCGAAATAAAGAAAAGTACTGCCTTGACTCCTCCCCGCCACTAAGTGGGGCTAGCCCGCCTGCACCTGCCCATATCTGGACCCCGGAAGTTACGTCACCCTCCAGGCGGCGGCTCGGGCCTTTGAGGGTTGTTGGGAACGCTCTGTGGTGACTAGAAGGATAACACCTACTACCACAAAGACCACCCGTTGCCCGGCCATGGAATCGCTTCCAGATGCGACGCGGGTCCTCGCGATGCAGACTCACCGCCCCAGAACTCCCGGCTGCAGCTTCTCGCACTGGTACCGGAAGTACTCGTGGGCGGGCGAAGCGGAAACCGGAAGTGAGGGGTGGATCCGGCCAGAGCGGTTGGTGAATCCGGCCAGAGAGGTTGGTGAATCCGGCCAGAGCGGTTGGTGAAAAATCAGTGCGCGCTGCGGAAGGTGAAGGTGTTGGGTTAGCAGCTCTGTGTTGGGGCCGTGTGCTTTGGTCACTGCAACCACACCAAGTCCTGCGCCTGAGTTCCGACGGAGTAGACGCCGAAGCGGGAACTGGGGCCTTTCGGGTGGTGTCACCGTCAGGCCTTGGTTTCTTCCTCTATTGTTGGGTCCTGTTGAGTCCATTTCGACTCACAAGCGACCCCATGTGACGGAGAAGAACGCCACTGCCAACCTTCTGGTTAGCGGCCCAGCGCTTAACCATTACGCACCAGGGCTTCCCCCGCCCCCATCTCCGCAATAGGAGTTGAGAAAAACCCACCTCACCAAATTGATATGATCCATGTCTTCCTTAAGGTGTTCTGGTGGCTCAGTGCTTAAGGCGTTTGACTGCCAACGAGGAGATTGGCGGTTCAAACCCACCACCCGCCCCGCGGTAGGACGATGAGGCAGTCTACTTTCGTAAATATTTTTACCGCTTTGGAAACCCAGTGTGGGTCGCTATGAGTGGGAATTGACTCGACGGCAGTGGGTTTGGTTTTTTTGGGGTTTTGGTGCCTTTTATCCTGTATGATCCAATCAGACGGCGAATACATCACGAGCTCCCGTTAGGTGCTCGTCACTGGGCTGAGCAAACGGACAGAGGGTCACACCCCTTCTTGCCAAGCCATCGCTGCCTCTCCCCACAGTTAACAATCCTACAACTCATTGGTCCTTCCACCGTGGGCGATCGAACAACTCTGACTCAGCAGGCGTTCTGTTCCGTGATCTTTGAACCTACTGCAAGCTGTGTGCAATCAACGGCCCTGGGTCTTCCTGTTCTCACCCTGTGTCCTCCCTGAACCGGGCTTTATACCTTCCCATGTTTAAAAGGCAAGTCGCAATCAGACTCCAAGAACACAGAAGAGTACAGTGCCTGTTTTCACTGATGTTTTCTTAAGGAAATGGAGGAGAGAGTTACACAACAGACTTCCTAAAAGTCTTGAAACATCTTTCTCCCCCTGGACTTCTTTTGCCAGCTACCACATCTCTCTGCAGGTCTCCAAACCATACCTTTGTCAAGAACTTTAATTTCCTTCCTTCCTCTTGCCTTCCTAGGCTCTAACCCTGAGTTTTTCTTTCCTTTTATAAAACCAAAACCAAACTCACTGCTGTCGAGTGGGCCGGACTCACAGGGACCCCTCCTTGGATTTCCAAGATGGTATCACTACAGAAGTAGATTGCCCCCTTCCTTCCTAGGAGTGGCTGGTGGGTTTGAACTGCCAGCCTTCTGGTTAACAGTCAAGTGCCTTAGGCACTACACTACCAGATTCCCTTTATAATAGAGGGCATTTTATTCCCTATTGTTCTCTCCCAAATGCCTTCCCACCACATCAGCAAAACAAAGGCACTTTTAGGAGAATGTACCAAGCGCTTTAGAGATGGGGAACATTATAACATCCAAAAAACATTTCC